AACATGAATTCTCTGTGCGCTTTTACACGTTTCAGCCAAGATGCGATTATTTTTAGATAGATCTCGATGCCAGCAATCAGATGGTACTATTGGATTCCGGATCCAAAAGAAACAGACTGAGTAATGACGTAAAAAGTGGTGCTATACTGTAATAAAGCGTATCATCAGTGATTATTGTTCAACATGAATTCTCTGTGCGCTTTTACACGTTTCAGCCAAGATGCGATTATTTTTAGATAGATCTCGATGCCAGCAATCAGATGGTACTATTGGATTCCGGATCCGAATAGAAACAGACTGAGTAATGACGTAAAAAGTGGTGCTATACTGTAATAAAGCGTATCATCAGTGATTATTGTTCAACATGAATTCTCTGTGCGCTTTTACACGTTTCAGCCAAGATGCGATTATTTTTAGATAGATCTCGATGCCAGCAATCAGATGGTACTATTGGATTCCGGATCCAAAAGAAACAGACTGAGTAATGACGTAAAAAGTGGTGCTATACTGTAATAAAGCGTATCATCAGTGATTATTGTTCAACATGAATTCTCTGTGCGCTTTTACACGTTTCAGCCAAGATGCGATTATTTTTAGATAGATCTCGATGCCAGCAATCAGATGGTACAATTGGATTCCGGATCCAAAAGAAACAGACTGAGTAATGACGTAAAAAGTGGTGCTATACTGTAATAAAGCGTATCATCAGTGATTATTGTTCAACATGAATTCTCTGTGCGCTTTTACACGTTTCAGCCAAGATGCGATTATTTTTAGATAGATCTCGATGCCAGCAATCAGATGGTACTATTGGATTCCGGATCAAAAGAAACAGACTGAGTAATGACGTAAAAAGTGGTGCTATACTGTAATAAAGCGTATCATCAGTGATTATTGTTCAACATGAATTCTCTGTGCGCTTTTACACGTTTCAGCCAAGATGCGATTATTTTTAGATAGATCTCGATGCCAGCAATCAGATGGTACTATTGGATTCCGGATCCAAAGAAACAGACTGAGTAATGACGTAAAAAGTGGTGCTATACTGTAATAAAGCGTATCATCAGTGATTATTGTTCAACATGAATTCTCTGTGCGCTTTTACACGTTTCAGCCAAGATGCGATTATTTTTAGATAGATCTCGATGCCAGCAATCAGATGGTACTATTGGATTTCGGATCCAAAAGAAACAGACTGAGTAATGACGTAAAAAGTGGTGCTATACTGTAATAAAGCGTATCATCAGTGATTATTGTTCAACATGAATTCTCTGTGCGCTTTTACACGTTTCAGCCAAGATGCGATTATTTTTAGATAGATCTCGATGCCAGCAATCAGATGGTACAATTGGATTCCGGATCCGATTAGAACAGACTGAGTAATGACGTAAAAAGTGGTGCTATACTATGATAAAGCGTACCATTAGTGTATCATTCAACATGAATTCTCTGTGCGCTTTTACACGTTTCAGCCAAGATGCGATTATTTTTAGATAGATCTCGATGCCAGCAATCAGATGGTACTATTGGATTCCGGATCCAAAGAAACAGACTGAGTAATGACGTAAAAAGTGGTGCTATACTGTAATAAAGCGTATCATCAGTGATTATTGTTCAACATGAATTCTCTGTGCGCTTTTACACGTTTCAGCCAAGATGCGATTATTTTTAGATAGATCTCGATGCCAGCAATCAGATGGTACTATTGGATTCCGGATCCGATTAGAACAGACTGAGTAATGACGTAAAAAGTGGTGCTATACTGTAATAAAGCGTATCATCAGTGATTATTGTTCAACATGAATTCTCTGTGCGCTTTTACACGTTTCAGCCAAGATGCGATTATTTTTAGATAGATCTCGATGCCAGCAATCAGATGGTACTATTGGATTCCGGATCCAAAAGAAACAGACTGAGTAATGACGTAAAAAGTGGTGCTATACTGTAATAAAGCGTATCATCAGTGATTATTGTTCAACATGAATTCTCTGCGCGCTTTTACACGTTTCAGCCAAGATGCGATTATTTTTAGATAGATCTCGATGCCAGCAATCAGATGGTACTATTGGATTCCGGATCCAAAAGAAACAGACTGAGTAATGACGTAAAAAGTGGTGCTATACTGTAATAAAGCGTATCATCAGTGATTATTGTTCAACATGAATTCTCTGTGCGCTTTTACACGTTTCAGCCAAGATGCGATTATTTTTAGATAGATCTCGATGCCAGCAATCAGATGGTACTATTGGATTCCGGATCCGATAGAAACAGACTGAGTAATGACGTAAAAAGTGGTGCTATACTGTAATAAAGCGTATCATCAGTGATTATTGTTCAACATGAATTCTCTGTGCGCTTTTACACGTTTCAGCCAAGATGCGATTATTTTTAGATAGATCTCGATGCCAGCAATCAGATGGTACTATTGGATTCCGGATCCAAAAGAAACAGACTGAGTAATGACGTAAAAAGTGGTGCTATACTGTAATAAAGCGTATCATCAGTGATTATTGTTCAACATGAATTCTCTGTGCGCTTTTACACGTTTCAGCCAAGATGCGATTATTTTTAGATAGATCTCGATGCCAGCAATCAGATGGTACTATTGGATTCCGGATCCAAAAGAAACAGACTGAGTAATGACGTAAAAAGTGGTGCTATACTGTAATAAAGCGTATCATCAGTGATTATTGTTCAACATGAATTCTCTGTGCGCTTTTACACGTTTCAGCCAAGATGCGATTATTTTTAGATAGATCTCGATGCCAGCAATCAGATGGTACTATTGGATTCCGGATCCAAAGAAACAGACTGAGTAATGACGTAAAAAGTGGTGCTATACTGTAATAAAGCGTATCATCAGTGATTATTGTTCAACATGAATTCTCTGTGCGCTTTTACACGTTTCAGCCAAGATGCGATTATTTTTAGATAGATCTCGATGCCAGCAATCAGATGGTACTATTGGATTCCGGATCCAAAGAAACAGACTGAGTAATGACGTAAAAAGTGGTGCTATACTGTAATAAAGCGTATCATCAGTGATTATTGTTCAACATGAATTCTCTGTGCGCTTTTACACGTTTCAGCCAAGATGCGATTATTTTTAGATAGATCTCGATGCCAGCAATCAGATGGTACTATTGGATTCCGGATCCAAAAGAAACAGACTGAGTAATGACGTAAAAAGTGGTGCTATACTGTAATAAAGCGTATCATCAGTGATTATTGTTCAACATGAATTCTCTGTGCGCTTTTACACGTTTCAGCCAAGATGCGATTATTTTTAGATAGATCTCGATGCCAGCAATCAGATGGTACTATTGGATTCCGGATCCAAAAGAAACAGACTGAGTAATGACGTAAAAAGTGGTGCTATACTGTAATAAAGCGTATCATCAGTGATTATTGTTCAACATGAATTCTCTGTGCGCTTTTACACGTTCCAGCCAAGATGCGATTATTTTTAGATAGATCTCGATGCCAGCAATCAGATGGTACTATTGGATTCCGGATCCGAAAAGAAACAGACTGAGTAATGACGTAAAAAGTTGTGCTATACTGTAATAAAGCGTATCATCAGTGATTATTGTTAAACATGAATTCTCTGTGCGCTTTTACACGTTTCCAGCCAAGATGCGATTATTTTTAGATAGATCTCGATGCCAGCAATCAGATGGTACAATTGGATTCCGGATCCGATTAGAACAGACTGAGTAATGACGTAAAAAGTGGTGCTATACTGTAATAAAGCGTATCAGTCAGTGATTATTGTTCAACATGAATTCTCTGTGCGCTTTTACACGTTTCAGCCAAGATGCGATTATTTTTAGATAGATCTCGATGCCAGCAATCAGATGGTACTATTGGATTCCGGATCCAAAAGAAACAGACTGAGTAATGACGTAAAAAGTTGTGCTATACTGTAATAAAGCGTATCATCAGTGATTATTGTTCAAACATGAATTCTCTGTGCGCTTTTACACGTTCCAGCCAAGATGCGATTATTTTTAGATAGATCTCGATGCCAGCAATCAGATGGTACAATTGGATTCCGGATCCGATAAGAAACAGACTGAGTAATGACGTAAAAAGTGGTGCTATACTGCAATAAAGCGTATCATCAGTGATGTATGTTCATCATGAATTCTCTGTGCGCTTTACACGTTTCAGCCAAGATGCGATTATTTTTAGATAGATCTCGATGCCAGCAATCAGATGGTACTATTGGATTCCGGATCCAAAGAAACAGACTGAGTAATGACGTAAAAAGTGGTGCTATACTGTAATAAAGCGTATCATCAGTGATTATTGTTCAACATGAATTCTCTGTGCGCTTTTACATGTTCCAGCCAAGATGCGATTATTTTTAGATAGATCTCGATGCCAGCAATCAGATGGTACAATTGGATTCCGGATCCGATAGAAACAGACTGAGTAATGACGTAAAAAGTGGTGCTATACTGTAATAAAGCGTATCATCAGTGATTATTGTTCAACATGAATTCTCTGTGCGCTTTTTACACGTTTCAGCCAAGATGCGATTATTTTTAGATAGATCTCGATGCCAGCAATCAGATGATACAATTGGATTCCGGATCCGATTCAAACAGACTGAGTAATGACGTAAAAAGTGGTGCTATACTGCAATAAAGCGTATCATCAGTGATTATTGTTCATCATGAATTCTCTGTGCGCTTTTACACGTTTCAGCCAAGATGCGATTATTTTTAGATTGATCTCGATGACCAGCAATCAGGTGGTACAATTGGATTCCGGATTCGATTCAAACAGACTGAGTAATGACGTAAAAAGTGGTGCTATACTGTAATAAAGCGTATCATCAGTGATTGTTGTTCAACATGAATTCTCTGTGCGCTTTAACACGTTTCAGCCAAGATGCGACTATTTTTAGATAGATCTCGATGCCCCAGGCCGTTGACGGCTGGCGGCTGACAGATATATGCGCTGTAGCATAGAAAGAGTGTTGTGCAAAATGGGCGTCAGTAGTGTAAACGGAATAGAGCACGCGCTCCCGGGAAGAGCACGCGCTCCCGGAAAGAGCGAGGTGCGGGTTCTAGTCCCGCCTGACGCAAAAGTTTTGCACATCACTCTACATTATTGGATATTTATGAGAAGAGGTGGTGGTTTTCAAAGCTATCTCCCTAATTGGAATTGTCGTGCTACTGCTTTAGTTATGGTTCCTATTTCGCCTTTCCATCTAATGTCAGTGAATGTCTTCTTCTGGCCATACGAGATGGTCAAGTGCTCAAGTTAAACTTGGTGACTGCTTCCTCTCCTATACTTCTATGCAAAAATTCTTGCTATTCGGTGCATATTCGCGAACAAAGTGACTTTTTCGCGAGTAAAATGGGCAGAGAAGTAGTGCATTAGTATGTTTTTAAGTGCTTGGAATTCTACATAGACTTTAATTGCTCAATACACTCAATATACTGTGACTACCCATTCAACACTTCAAAACATACTTCCACTTCCCTCAGTGTAATTAAGATCAAAGATGGTCACCTGTCTCTGAACAGTTAAATAAAGGACCACGACAGAGATTTGGAGCTATAATCTCCAGACATGAAAATGACGGCGCTAATCGCTGGCCCATTACTAACACGATGAGTTTGTACAAATCATCTTTCTGATCACCTAAAGATTGAAGAGATTAGACACTTCTGCAAATATGTCATAAGGTGCTGAACTGACAAGTCATAAATAAAAAGGATAGAGCTCTCGACAGTGATCAATTCCTAAGGTAAAAGGCCATGCAATCGTCATCAATTTGTTTTGTTTAGGTGACTGAATACACATCTGGCCTTTACATTCCGATTATGATTTGTGGTGCCCACCTGATATAGCAAGTCAGTGGTGCTCTCGTTTCAGATAAGTCTGACAATTCATCAACCCTGCACCAATGGAAGGCCTACTGAGCCTTGAGCTTGGGCTGGATCTATCGGTATTTACTTTCCTTAATTCTCTATCAGCACTTCATGAATAGGCTGTATGGATGGCATCATGGATCACCTTTCGCATACAGGATGGATTTTGAATGACATTATTATATACATGCGCTCTGACTGCGCCACAATCTAGGTGTTAGGGAGATGGGCCTGGTATAAACTCTAATAATTGCGATAATATGAGACTCAAAATTTATGCTATCCTATCCATCGGCCCCTTACACAGGTGATAAGTTAGGGAACTCTATGTTGGTGCATCAGTAAACGCAAGATAGTCAACAGGGCTATGTTTGTGTGTTTCAATAAGTGTGTATAGGACGGGGCATGACGATAAATCATTCTTAGATTAATGACAGCTGATGAGTGTAGACTAGCCGCCTTTGTCGTTTTGACCCATACTCTATTTAGCTGCCAGTATTGGTATTTATATTCCTCAAAAAGTGGCGGGACTGAACAGTAGAAGAGATCGTCCCGCACATAAACAAATGATTATCCTTATCTCAAACTCACTTTCTATTTTGAGTAAGGTTTATTTCACCATGGTGTATATCAGTACCGGTCGCCTCTCCTAAACAGATAGTTTCACAATAGGCCTCCATGTAATGGGTAAGCACTTGAGGAAATGTTTTTGGAATGCCACTGAATGTATGAAGTATTGACCAGATAATCTGATAGAATATTTCAAATCTTTCAATGGTCTGGCATAACACTTTGAGTGCCAGACGCACATTTTGGCTTTCATGTCAAGCCTCATCAGTTGCACATGTCTTGCGGATTCACCGAGCCCCTAGATATAAGGGTAACGGCTCCAAACATGTCACACTGCACGACAGATATAAAGATGGGCTAAGATTGCAATGACAGTCGACTGCACGGTGGTGGCTGGAAAACAGATACAGCAATATCTCTCTACCGACTGTTTTTTGACACCTCGCTTTAGAATCAATGCAGCCTGAAAGCATTTTTTTAGTTTTTCAGAAAACCAAAAGGCGTCTGCTGCTGATGAGGCTTGACATGAAAGCTGAAACGTACGTCCAGGGCACGAACTGCCATAGCTGACCTCTGAAACACATAAAATATCTACTATATTACATTCAATCTTTAACAAGATCTTAAAAAACAGTCGAGTGGAATGGTTTTGATTGAATTATTGATTATGCTTTGGTGTAGTGCATCGGTTAAGCTCTCAAGGAGGAGGATCCTTGAAAAATTAGGAAGAATACAAATCTCGTACAAGTTTAATTTCAAAAGGAGCGCAATACATAAGATGTTTTGCAGTTTTGATGCTGAGCATAACCAAAGTTGAGTTTGTGGGATTGTGAGTAGAATACTAGGGTGAAAAGGTGTAATAGGTCTCCCAAAAAGAACGATAGTCTGCTAAATCAAAAATATAAGTCGTGGACCATGGCTGAGCCATGGTACGTGAATGATTACTTGGTCATTTTCCTTTCGAAAAAGTAGAAGTTGTAGGATAGGTATAGAGTAGGTAGAGGATAGGGTATAACGGTGACGACTTAGAGGTCGTAGTGGGAATGCTGGATCACGGACGTCGAATACATTTCGAAAAAGCAGGAATGAATAGGAGAGGAGAATGTCTAAACATAGCTAGTGATATGACACCTTATTTCACATTTGTCTTTAGTTTGATCATTGCTCATTTACATTGTACAACATCATATACGCAAACTCTTCTATATAGGTAATAAAACGGTGGGGTTAATGCAATCGGTAGGCATTGATCCCCTCATTAGATTTTCGCCAAATGTATGAAGTATAAAACGAAAGGTTGATTGGATTTGGTTGACTTAGTACGTCGTCTAAGCTCTGGATATCGCGAAAATTGCCGAAATGCAAGCCATCGATGATAAACGGCGAAGCACAAATTTCGCACAAGTTTCACTAGAAAAGGGAAGTAGTTTTTGAGACATCTTAAAGGATTCATGCCAAGCCTCAGTGAAAATGGGATTTTAGGATCGCGGGTGGATCTTTCTCTTCATCGGTATATTAGAATCTATCCTCCATTCATCATTAGATGGGTGTCGTGGACGTAAAGTTAAGTATATCTTCTATGCAAATACCTTTGCTTTGCGGTGGCCTGTGCCGATGCATCAGGATAGCTGAAAAAAACCTAAATCCATTTGTTTTTAAAAGTATCTCTTTATATCCATTGTTGTTCGGTGAGCCTTAGTGAAAAAAGGCGCGCGCTTTGTGGACTCAAATCACCTGTATTACCTGTCGTCTCGTTGTCCGTCGAATGAATCAAGTGAGCGCCGGTAAACCTATCATACCTTCCTATCTTATGCAAGAGTATCCGAATGGGTTTCGCCGTTAGGCACCGATATCTTCCTTTCTTTACACAGCAATTCATTATAGTAATTCGGCAAAGACCAAGTCTTTGATGCTCATGCCGGTAATATGAAATTGGAGATCTGAGCACGTGATTGTTTGTCTATTGTAGTACCAGGTCATCAAAGCTCTTTTTTTCTAAGGTTTAACAAGTTCCATGGTTCCACCTGTACGACTGTGGAGCTGAGTGATTTACCAAGTCGCTTCCTTGGCCTAGGCAAGCGTATCTCGAAGCATTCGGGGTAATCATTCGGTTGTGCTCGAATTGAGTATAAAGAACATAGCAGTTCTTGATAGACATTGTCTATGCAGACATTTACGTAATATTTAATTATCCTTGAGTATCATGTAAGTCCTCTTGGACTTGTTCCACGCAATCAATGCTTGGTAATCTAGCATTGGTATAAGCCACAAAACGTATATTGTATAATTACCTGTTTTACTGGCCTTTGACTCCATGTTGTCCTACTTCATTGTTCGCGAGACTCTCTGGAAAATGACACTGATATTCTTGGTGATACAGTACCACATTGCCTAATCCTCACTTCCATAGATAATAAGATTGTTATGAAACGCTTTCATTTTAGATATGAAATTTCTTTATATTTCTCAAAATTCGTGCACTGAGTAGTGGCTGAACTGATGTGTTATCACTGCTACCCGTCCGAAAAAAGTCTAAAGCACTTCCAAGCCAGTGATGCAGAGAGAGAGATATTATCTAAAGATTTGAAAGACTAGGAGGTCATGTTATCGTGCAGACATTGTCTGTCCTACTAAAAGGTTTTCGCAGCTGACCTTGTTCATGTGATTTTCCTTCGCCCAGTGCTTTTTTAACACTGCTTAGGGTGACTTTAATGGATACTGTGAACAAGAGGCAGAAGACGATTTGGTCGACTGTTAGTGTTGTCATAAAGTTTTTCTGAACACTAGCAATAGATTTTGGTCTCGCGCTTGGTATAACTTCTTCTGAAAGGTAGCAGGCAAAAAACCAAGCTGGTGAATACTTTGAAAATGAAAATATTACGGCAGATTTTTTCATCTGGTCACTAGACACAACACAAAATCACTAACTTATCGGCAATGCAGTGAAATCGATGGGCGCTTTTACTGATGTGGTGATAGATTTATCCTAATGTCGATGTAGTGAAATCTCCATTGAAAACCATGCTAATCGAATATTATCTGTTTTTTTGCTAATAAATATGACAGGCTAAATTCCAAGTTTTCTTCACAGTGATGCACACTATCCCAGCACCTCTTCTTCCTTCCACGTTTCTATTCTACCTTTAGCCCTTTTCTTTATTCAAAACTTGTGCGAGGTTTGGTACTTCCTTTCTTCAAAACTCGATGACTGACGTTTCGGCGGCAACGCCTTCGTCAGAGCCTAAACATATAAATCATGCCATATCTGATTACTCGGTTAATATGTCGCATGTATCGAAAATCCAATAGAAATGAAATCAACAGTCTAATCACTTTGAAGAGCCCCACCTTATTTAGTTTTCTGAGAGCTGGTAGTCTAGTTTGAGTATGGTTCATTTTGCAAATTGAGTCACACTAGACCGGTGACCGCTCTCATAAAACTAAACAATATGGGGTTTTCAGAATGACTAGACTGTACATTTCCTTTTCATTGGATTTTTCATACATGCGAAATATTAACCGAGTAATCAGATATGGTCTGATATATACGTCTAAGCTCTGACGAAGGCGTTGCCGCCGAAACGTTAGCCATCAAGTTTTCGAGAAAAGGAAGTACCAACCTCGTGCAAGTTTTGAA